GCACTTTGAGGTAAATTTTTGCGGCCAGAGCTGGTCGTAACCCGAAAAGTTTGTTAGTAGAGGCGTTCGTATCCCGAGGTACCACTGTATTTTTATATTCACAGGTGTTGGAAGATAACAAACAGTGGTGGAAGCTGAAAAACCGAAGTGGGCAGGCTGGTTATGTTCCATATAATATCTTGGATCTGGTGAGCCCGGAGGATTTTGCAGCAATTGAGCAGGTCTGATTTAGCTCTCAAATTAGATACTGTGGTTATTTAAATTAACAGGAAATCCTATCAATGATTTAGGTAGATATGCTTCCCTAAATTATTCTGGGCATTAACTATCAAATGTATGAAGAAATCATATGTGTGTACATAAACACACACACACACACACACACACACACACACACACACCCTTTTCAGTGTCATCTTTCTTTAACAATTCTTCTTTATTAAAAGAACATTAGAATGGCATAGATATGTCTCTCCCTTCCTCAGTTTCCCCTTGCAACAATTCTGCGAGATAGGATAGGTAAGGAAATACTGATTGACTTCATTCATGACTGAATGAAGATTTGGATGGAGCCTTCTAATTGTACCATATTATATCTCATTAGGTAGCTCTGTGCCAATATATCAGACTCAATCCCTGATGGATGAATGTATGAACAATCACTTGCCATGTTCTTTACAAAAGTAGTTCTAAAGGATAAGAATTTTCCTAAAGAATTAGGATGCCACCTGGGCACAAAAATAATGGGTTTTGTGCAATAATGGCACAGACTATTTATTCATTCATTCATCATGTTTATATAGCCACCCATCTCACAAACGTTACTCTGGGTGGTGTGCAATAAAACAAACCATACAAAAGAGCAACATTAAAAACATTCAACAATTTTAAAAAATCAGTATTATTATTAAAGAGAGCATCTTCAGTATTACAGACAATATAGCCATCTCACCGTTTCAGTTTCCTTGAGACCCCCAAGCCTGTTGACACAACCACATTTTGAGGGACTTACAGAAAGTTAACAGAGATGGAGCCAACATCACCTGGGGTGGGGTGGGGAGTAATGTTCCACAGGGTGGGTGCCACAGCAGAAAAGGCCCATCTCCTGGGTCCAGCGAGATGTAACTCCTTAGTAGACAGGACCTGCAACATACCTCTTCAGCCAGACCTGATGGGATGGGCAGATGTAATCGGGAAGAGGCGGTCCCTCAAATAACCTGGCCCCATGCATTAATAGTATAAAACAAAATAAAGTAAGTAGTCCCTAGTTTAAGAACGAGTTCCATTCCCAAGGTCTGTCCTTAAGTTGAATTTGTGTCTAAACTGGAATGGTATTATTGTATAATACTGCATAAGTAGTATTGTGTAATTAACTCGAATCATTGTGTATTTAACTCGAATTTTGCTACAATAGGTTCCCTTCTTAACTATGGGTTGTTTGTAAACCGGGTGTTCTTAACTTAGGGACTACCTGTATGGGAATTTACTGCCATTGAAATAACTGGGCTATATTTTCTTTTTTATAAAGTGTTGCTAATCATTTATCTAGTTATAAAATCCAAAAGGGCAATGTTTTAAGATGTGTAAGTAAGAATATTTATGTATTATAAATATATAAATATAGTATATTGTGTGAGAGCCAGTTTGGTGTAGTGAGGCACCAGGCTAGAAACCAAGAGATGGTGAGTTCTGATCCCGCCTTAGGCACGAAGCCAGCTGGGTGACTTTAAGCCAGTCGCTCACTCTCAGCCTAGGAAGGAGGCAATGGCAGACCACTTCCAAAAAACCTTGCCAAGAAAACTGACAAGGGACTTGTTCAGGCAGTCGCCAGGAGTCCATACTGACTTGAAGGCACCAAAAAAAGAGAAAAGTATGCTATTCATAATATATTTATATAAATATAAAAATATGCATACTAATTTTCAGATTGGGAGCTCAGGAAATGCCTTGGTAGAATGCCTGGATAGTGTTCTCCAATCGGGTTTCTTTCAGATTTATTGGATTGCAACTTCCTCAGCTGGTATTAACATTTATTTAATATAAAGTTAGTATGCTATCATAAGATTTTGCACTTCGTATGTTCTCCAGACACTTCTGGGGTACTATCAGGTCTCATAGCCCTTATGAAAAGCATGATCTTTCTTTTCCCCAGTTCCACCTTTTAAAAGCCCGCCTATATGATGAAACAGGTGGTGTGTGGCCATGTAAATACCATAGCAGGGGTGAGCAGTTTGGGTGCAGTTTGCAGTTTCCCCATTTTTTTTTCCTGATCTCTCTCTCTCTCTTTTTTTTCTTTTCCCCTCAGACCACAGATTTCAGAGAAGGAAGGGACAGATAGCCCTGGCCAAAGTTGGTTGCAAAAGCGCTTGAAATCTGGGATTTCAGGATCTGCACATAGGGATAGAGTTGCAGGTTTTCCACCGTAGCGCTATAGCATAGTTATTTTTGGTGGTGTGCCATTTGAAACATGATCATCACTAATCACAGAATGGATTAGGGCAGTGTTGTCCAAACTTGGCCACTTTAAGATGAGTGGACTGGCTGGGGAATTCTGGGAGCTGACATGGCTGGCTGAGCAGTTGAAGTCCACTCATCTTAAAGTGGCCAAGTTTGGACAACACTGGCCTAGATAGATAGATATTAATGTGCATCATAATGTTCCAGCATGTCAGAATCTCAGCCAAATGCCAGTAAAAGATTTGCAGATGACCTAAGCAGCTGAAGGCTGGGGCTATCTGGAATAAACTCAGAACAATGGTAGAAATTTCATAATTGGATAAAACAATAAGTCAAGGAGCTACATCAATTAAATGCTTATACTTCCTTATCAAGCAGTAAGGACTGAAGGATAATACTAATCTGATTTTACATTGACTAAAAGAGAAAGCAATCATGGGACATCTTTATTTTGTAGGGTAATCAGAAATACCGAGACTTGCGTCCAAGAGCAACTGGACCTTCCAGCCCCTCCCATAAGTTACCTGCTAGCTATGCTGGAGACAAATGGGGAAGTGAAATGGCAGCCCGCAATTCCTCAGATGCCAAAGAACGTAAGTACCCATGCAGTCTGAACTAATATATTTAATATGTTAAAAGAAAGATGCATTGTTATTATTATATTGGCCAAAAATTACTGATCTTTCAGCTGAAAGATCAGTAATAAGAACCTTTGAACTAAGAACTAATCCTAAAGGTGTAGTTTGGTTGCAATATGCAAGGTAAAAGAAATGGCATATCACATGTCTATAAATTCTAAATTATGTAATAGAAGATTTGACCCTTCTGTAATTGTTGCAAGAAGGCAAATGTGACTTATATATCATGAGCTTTATAAATAATGAAGCAAGCTCAATCTCAAATCTGCAAGAGATCTCATAGTATGTCACTGGTGGACAATCTTTACCTTTGTAATACCTCCTGGTATTATCTTTTGCTTTAAATTATCCTCATACTGTAGCTACTTGTTCCCGAAGTAGGGAGGACAGCTCATCTGTTTATCTCTCCCATATTTTAATGTTCTCAATATTTAATGAACATGGAACACAATTTGATGTATGTCTACTTGGAAATAAGTTCCACTTATTTTAAAGGCTTACTCCCAAATATATGAGTATAAAATAAGATTGCAATTCGATGCTTTTTTTATTCAGTGGCTGAGAACTAACTTTAAAGCCTTTGGAAAAAAATTATCTTTTGTGAATGAGACTTGAGGGCACACTTATATTTGGAGGAAGAATTTTGGCCCTTTCCTAATTGCTGGAAATGAGTATCTTTAAACATGCTTTTATATATAGTTTAAATATAATCAAATAATTGATGAAAAGAGACTCTTCATAACTAAAAGTACTTTAGGTGGTTGATAGCCCTCATGCCTGTCCTGAACTTGCGTGTTTTTTGCTGAACTTCTCTTTTTAGAATTGATCCATCACATGGATGAGGTCAATGACGAATTGCTGAAAAAGATCACAAATATCAAAATCCAGCCACCTCAAAGGAACTTTAGAGTAGAGAAGACCCAGCAGGTTCTTGTGCCCTTGACCTTTGAATCCAATGCTGAAGAAGTCAAAGTTTGGCTGGAAGCAAATTCATTCAGCAAAGGGTAAGTGGCTCTTTGCCTTTTTTTATGCCTCCCCAGACTTTTTTCTTCTTCCAACTCTCCCTTTCCTTCCCTGTAAGTGTTGTTGTTGTTGTTGTTGTTGTTCAGTGGTTAAGTCGTGTCCGACTCTTCGTGACCCCATGAACCATATTTACAGGGTCCAGTAGTAATGTATGGCTGTGAGAGCTGGACCATAAAGAAGGCTGAGCACCGAAGAATTGATGCCTTTGAACTGTGGTGCTGGAGAAGACTCTTAAGAGTCCCCTGGACTGCTAGGAGGTCAAACCAGTCAATCTTAAAGGAAATCAACCCTGATTGCTCATTGGAAGGATTGATAATGAAGCTCAAGCTCAGATACTTTGGTCACCATTCTTCGGTGCTCAGCCTTCTTTATGGTCCAGCTCTCACAGCCATACATTACTACTGGACCCTGTAAGTGTAGGCTAAGGATAATGGAAGTGAGTGAGTCTAATGTATCTGTAGGGCAACAGATTGGTTTTTTAGATAATGTGAAGTGACTTGGGATGGGATAAAAAGATTTCTTAACAGTTAGGTTACTTGTATAATAGGGAGAAAATGCACAAAGTCATCCTTGGATTCCATAATATAAGTCCTTCAAATCTCTGTTAACTCTTGAAGCAAAATTTAAAACATCAAAATTTAAGTATTGCCTATACTTTTAACAGGGCCCATTAAATGTCACAAAAATGTGCAAGCATCCTTCCAGATTCTTTAAAAAAGCAAGAGAGGGGGAGGAAAGGCCCAAATCAGTTGAGATGGTTTGCCGCGAGGTATTAGATTACACTTAGCATCATCCTGAGATAATGAAGCCATGGTTGAGCCTCCAATAAAAGCCAGCCGTAAGATCTTGCCTTGAGGTGACACACAAAACTATTTGGATAGAAACAGTACAGAAATAAAGTCCTCCCTGCTTTTTGTACCCCCCTAGTCTGATGATGTCTAGAAAATAGAAAAGTTTGCACACTATTTGATGGCATTTTAGCTGGTACTAATAATGATATCACACAACTGGATTTTGGATTTTTTCTTCTCATGGAGCAACTTCACTAACCTTGTTGCTAATTCAGAGGAGGCTCATTTCACTTGCACACATCAGGCAATGATTACCTTTGCTGCAGTACAGACTTACCCACAGATATTTTAACCATATGACTTGATGCAACAAGGGCTATGGATCTGAAAATTGCTATATTGAAGAACAAAGTTATTGTGTTTGGCAGGTACTATGGTTGAATGTTTACCAAAGATGGGAAAATGGATGGAAAAAATTTAGGACTTGCAAATAATGTAGAAAGGCAATGGGTAGTATGTGGTCTATTATAAGGAATGTTTGTTGACAGAAGTTACAGTAGCTGTGTATGAATGTGTGCTTCTGCTCACTTTGTTATATGAAAGTGAAATTTGGATATGTCAGGAGAAATATAAAAGTAAGTTGAATGTGGTGGGATGGAGTACTTAGGAAGTGTGTGTGATAAAACAAGATGGGGTCAAGATTGTATGGAGCTGAATGAATGTGGATGGAATATAAAATTAGGTGACCGGTATGAAGGAAGTACATTGAGGTGACTTGATCATATAGATAGTGCTAGGATCAGATTACAAAGCCAATATATGAAGGAAGAATAATTGGATTGAGAGGAAGAGGAAGACTGAGAAAGTTGATGTGATCCTTAAGGACTGTCTTTGCCCAGTTGTTTCTACCTGTCCAATCCAGTCCGGCAGGTTGGGCATGCTCTGGGTCCTGTCAGCCAAGGAATGTCAGCTGGCGGGGACCGGGAGACGTGCCTTTTCTGCTGAGGCGCCTGCCCTCTGGAACATCCTCCCTCCTGAGATTAGGATGGGCCCGACCCTTTTGGCTTTTTGGAAAGCCTTGAAGACCTGGCTTTATGCCCAGGCCTGGGGCCCCCGAGCGTGTGAAGGGCCCCGTTTCATGGTTGTGCTGATACCGATGTTTTTTAAAGATCTCTTGGCTGCATTTATATTTATATTTAATGTTTTGTACTGTTTTAAATGTTGACTGTTTTTACTGTTGTTAGCCACCCAGAGTCACTGGTCTGAGATGGGTGGGTATATAAATTGAATAAATAAATAAGTTAAATAAATAAATAAAAAGAGAGAGGTGAGAAATAAAGAATGAAAAGCAGTAGGGAGCCATGTGTAGATGTAGTAGGTTTGTAAGGACTGAATGATAAGGAGAGGTATGGTGAATGGTGTTAGTGTAAAGTAGCTTTAGCTATGTTTCCTTTAATTTTTCTTACCTCATGCCTTTTTTTGGGTTGCTTGCTATTTCTTACTCCTTTTCTGTGCTCTGCATAACACTGCTTACCCTCAAAGGGACTAGCTTATATAATTAGTGCTTAAAGATTACCCTCCTGAGAAAGACATTAAGGAATAATTGTAGAAAGACATCTGCAAGTGCAGATCAAGGTTTGTTTGTTTTTTTAACAAACTGTGTTACTGCAGCTTTGCAGATGTATTACCATCTTCAGTTTCAAGGGAACGGTTTTCTGTAAGGGGCATTATATAAATGTAATTTTGATTTACAATAGCTAAAATAAGCTCTACAATGCATTTGGAAGAAGTTCTACTGGTTAGAGCAGGATCTCCAGTGGAACACAGTGTAAAAGGGGAATGAGAGAACCTCCTTTGCATATAACAGTGGTTGTTCTGTTATCTCCATAACTGATCCTAGATTAAAGTTTACATAACCATGACAGTGATGACTGGACCTTTGAATAGTTTGTCCGATGTATGTCAGTAAAGAATCTTTTATGTCTGCTCAGAATGGCACAGGAAGAAGGGGCAAAAACAGCCAATTCTGAAGGAAGTTTAAAAAATACATTATCACAGTTTAGAGGTAATCATTTTTAAGAAACTGGTTCACTTTTCAAATTTCTTATACTTCATGAAGTTTGAATGCACACCTTTCTCAGGGAAAAGGTGATGGGTTCCTTAGAAACCTATAGAACAGATGTCAAGGATACAAAACTAACTATAATATTCTGTAAATTTAGGATAACTTCCTCCCTCAGAAACTATTGGCCTATGAAAAATGTCAAATGTCTGGGGCCTTGTGCATCTTTGAACAGTGCATTTTTCTTAACATTTTCTTAGAACTGTGGACCATCTTGGCATACTGACAGGAGCACAGCTTTTCTCCTTGAACAAAGAAGAATTGAAAAAAGTATGTGGAGAAGAAGGTGCCCGGGTATTTAGCAAAATCACAGTGCAAAAATCTATTCTAGAGGTAAGATTCCTAAAATAGCAACCATTTGAAGATCATATCCATATTTTAAGGGATAGGTAGTAAGACTGCAGTGCAGTCCTAATCTTTTAAGACTTAATACTTTGAGGGCAGCCTTGAGATCCTGGGAAAAGATGCTGCTGCTTTAAAGTGTTGCAGACAGACTAAAAAGACTTTACTGCTGTGCTGATAAGGTCGTTTATTGCTCATATACCTTCAGCAGAATTTAATTTGTCACCTTTCAGAGCTGAATGTGAGTCTTCAGAAGAAAATGCATTTTTTGCAGGTTGATGAAACTAATTTATCAACAATCCCTATATTTTATTTTTTAAAAAAAACTTCGTAAGGGTTCTATGCAACTTTGAAAGCTGCTCTGGACCTCTGTGATTCTATGATCTCAACTGTGTTCAAGACCTAAGTCAGTTATTTCCAGCTCAGATGCACTGTATTTAAAACCACAGTCATTTTCTCCAAATGAACCGTTACCCACCACCATTCTTGGAAAATGAATAGCTTTAACTTTAATCAGATTAGAGTATTTGGGTATCTAGATGTCTCCTTCCAAGCCTTGGTAACTGGGAACAAACAAGGAAGGGTTAACCCTGCTCAGCCCCAAAAGTTTTCAAATGCCATCCTTCGTTTTGCCAACTATAAAGATAATAACCATGTCTAGCTGCCATTAAAAGTTTTAGAGCAAAGGTCATTCTACACCTACTGTATGATACATGGGTGTTGCTATTTTGTCCCAGCTCCACGAACATAGTCCACTCCAAATTTCTAAGGGCTTTGCTTCATTGTTTATCTAACTCCCTGTTCAGACTGGAATTTGGGCTAATTTCTTTAGAGACCAGATGTAATCACTGGTTGAAATATTGGACCAAATTACACTTTGATAGTACCCAGTCTCTCTGATTTTGCAGGATAGTTGCACATTCACATGAAAGGCAGGAATTGCAGTGAAATGTTCTGGCTTATCAACTCTTTATTTGATTTTGCTTGGCCCAGAGATCCTGGTTGGAATTGAAACAGTGAATTGAATGGAATTGAAAAGTGTCATTTTACAGGATTTAACCAATCCTCCTGTACTGTATTTTGCAGGAGTGCATCGGTTTCTGCTCTCCTACACTAAAAAAATTAGCAAACGTCCTTTATCTTTGCCTAAAGTTGCCACCTTCTTGTTAGGAAGATTTCATAAAATGTCTATGCAAGAACAACTTTGTCCATGTCCATTAGAAGAAAAAGAAATAATTTTACATATCCTCTTGCAATGACCTTTTATATGACATCATGCTGAATTAACAGCACCTCTGTTAGCTACAACCATGCATGATCAAAGGGTGAGATTATTTTCCTCATCTTAGCTGATAAAATACAGAATTTCTCCAGAAGGGCTATTCAATTTGTTGCAATAGTTATTTCTGCTAGATGTTTAATTGTCTAGTGATCCTGATAATTTATTTTCCCTCCAAGGTAATTTGCATTTTATGTCTATTTTAATTCTCACTCTTTAACTTTTTATATGTGTGGTTCTTGTAGTTCATATGTTTTTGTCTTGGAGTGTAAAATCAGTCAATAAAAACAGGATTTTTTTTTTGCAGTAAAACTGCAGGTCTTACACACAGTGTCTTACTTTTAAGTGTTAAGATGGCTTGCACCTTTTTTAGCTCCCCTTCATAGGATCCACCAGGATATTGTATGTGTGTATACTACTGGACAAATGGTCACGAGTTGAAATAAGGATCTGCAGGGGCTGGGTGCCACATTTACTTTACTTCACTTTTGCAGGAACAGGAGTAAGGAGGTTTTTGTTTCTGCAGGAGCTGCAGCGGCTCAGGACATAGCTTTGAGTCTTTGCCAAGTCAGAGCATGGCAGAACTACATGTTGCTCAGCATTGTGAGATTGGTGGAAGACAATTGCAGGTCATCTCAAACTACTTCTGAGGAATTGGGGGGAAGAAACCATAGCAGTGACCTCACTTTTGAAAATGCTAAATTACTGAAGTGGTTTGCCGTATGTGATATTTTTGAAAAATTAAAATGCGTTACCTTTTCTTTTTCTTCCAGGAAAAGAGAGAGAAGTCAGAACTTGAGGAAATCATGACGCGACGCCAAGAGAGAATTGATTCTACTATTTAAGTTCTTTTGGTTTATTTCAACTCATAGTCACATATATTTACTTGCAGGAAAAAGGGAAAAAAGCAAAAATATAATGGAGTACCTCTTCAAGTGAGACTGCTGGGATTATCAATGTAAATTGCCATTCAGACCAACTGTTCCTTCAGCACTCTTGACAAAGGGAATGCTAAACTCCCTCATTAATTTGACATTGCATTGGAAGAGAAGTTGTAGTATTGAATGAAGTATGAAGTATTATATTTTTATATCACTATATTTTATACATAAATGTTACGTGTATGATTTCAGAGCATGAGGAGGATCAGAATTCTGCTCTAAGCAAAGGTTGGATTGAAGCAAAACCGCTCTCTGTGGCCCATCAGTGCATCCAGAACTGGCTGGAAATACTGACATAAGCCAGTATAGCCACATGCTTTGAAGACTGCATGCTTCTAAATCTTCTGCTACAGTTTTGTACAAAATACAGTACAATCTGTATCTAGCATGTAGTGGGGAATCTTCTGCACCATCTTTGTTACATATAAAAAGCCATATAAGATTATCACTAGCAGGCAAAACGTTTAAGTTTGAGTGGGGGGGGCGGGGGTCCTAGAAAGAATTCAATTAAGTATTTTTTTGTTTCCAAGTTGTTTTAAAAAAAAATTACATGCTGTCAAAAAGGATCTTGGGAAAATATCCTGTACTGTAATAACTAGGGTTTGTCCAATGGCAGTTTAATGATTAACTGCTTCATTCATAGTGAAAGTGATAGCATTCACTGCTTGCAAGATCACATCTCTCCATTCATTGCAAATGTTTTTGTAAAGGGTTTGGCCACCCCCCCCCCCCAAAAGACTTGAATCAACTTGAACGCTTTGCTCTTGCCCAGGCTTGACCCCACATACCTCTGTTCTGATCCTGAAACGATCACATGAGACATCCTGATATTTCAACAGCTAATCTAAATAGTTACAATATTCAAATTGTCTTGTGAAAAGGAATGTCAAGGCATATAGAAGAGTGTATAACTGAACTGGCCCTTAGCCATATATATACAAACTTCCACTTCTCACCAGTATAAGGAAATGCCTGGTGTTCCTAGAGTCCAATCCTATATATATTTACTTAGAAGTGACTACCAGCCTAATGGGAAGAGCTCTCAGGTTGCTCTGACGTTTCCCAGACCTATTTTATTTTATGGATACCCTCTTGTTAACCAATGGGAGGAATTTTTTCTCCACTAGCTGCAACATTGGTGTAGATTAAGAGTAGGTTTAGGGCATGTCAGGAACCCAAAAAGGCTAGCTATATGCTCTCAGGATATTCCGTTTCAGTTCCCCCTGACATTGAAGTTCGGATGTTAGCAAGCAATCAACATGGAAGTTTTCACAGATGTTGGGAAAGAATATTCAAGGTTAGATCCCTTGACTCCACAGGAAAATTCAAGAAGTCCTATTGTCTCCGGAATACTCTTCCAGAAACCAAAGAAATACAGCTTAGAAATCAATGTGTGTTTCTTTATTTTAATCCATTATCACCAAACTGTGTTCAGGCCAAGCTTTAGAATGAAGGGCTATAGACATAAAATTTAGTAACTGTTCTCAGTAACATATTCCTTTTTCTTCAAGGAAACAGTGGACTGAAATGAAAGCCAAACAAATATATTCACATTTGCTGATTGGCATGGCCTTATGTTGCTTTTTTTACTTCATCTTTTAAATCCTAGGGATGGGCCAAAATTAGTTGTATTTGTTTGAGCATTCTTGACACATAGGCAGCCTCAGTATTGCACAATTAATAATGATTAATCAAAACATGAGGAAGAACCTAAAATCTAATTTCAATCTGATAGGATTCACAACATCCCAACTATGAAATCTGCTGGGGAGGGATACACAATATATGGTTCATAAGACAATTTATTTTGACTCCAGGAAATACTGTAATGTATATAAATTTTCATAAAAACTAAATTTATGACCCAAATGGAGAGGAAGAAAATGAAATATGGATATAGTACATGGTACCTTGTGTGCTCAAGACACTATTAACTACCCTTTTATAATTTTTAAAGTCCAGAACATGTTGGCTGAAAACTTATATTTGGTGGTAAAAGTTTTCAGTTGCTATATCGTGCAGAGGTGCCACTCTGTACCCTATCTTTTGTAAAGCGAAGTGTCGTCTTTACTTAATTAGGCTTAAGCCAAAATCCACAACCAGTTGTGATACTCAGATGCTTATCTTTTTCTGTCCAAATTATATTACTGGCTGTTTACACCCTCATTTGGAAGCTACTTAGTCCAAAATTGAAAAGTACGCAATTGAAATGGGACAGCAGTCTTATGACAATTGCTGTAGTCAGTGTTGGTGAATATAACTCCATTTAAGCTTTAATGTTTAAAAACATCTGGAAATAGAAACTTGGCAAATCAGTATATATGACATTAGCTGCTAAATGCTCATTTACCTTTATTTTGAGACTGAAGATATATGTCTTGCAGAAATCGTTAAATGTAGACTGTGTCTGGTATGTCGTTTATTCCAAAAAATCTGTATTATTCTGCATGTCTGGAGAAATTTGCAAGACCAAGCCTTTAAATAATGCATACTTTGCTCCTTAATGTCCCTCCATCTACTATTATTTGTACATTAACCACAAATAATTTTATCTGGTTTACTTTATCTGTACATAAACATGTAGACAAGGTTCTTAGAAATGAAACAAAAAGCCTTCATGGAGATATTACTAAATAAAACTATGCTCACATTATGTATTTTAAAGGTAGCTGTGCAGAGATAATGTAATCATTCTTTAAAAAGTATATATTATATATGAAGCTGACAAATATATAAGCAGCAGCAGATGCACTTACTAATTATAGAGCAGGCAAGACTTAACTATCTGCTTATCGTATGGGATATTAATAATAAAGCCAAACAAAGTAATACACTTATTGAGAGCTCCTAACAGGAAGGTTAAACAATGTAAGTAATAAATACATGGCTATGTTCTCACTTTTAAATGTATGTTAACAGTAATAGGATGTACATTTTAATTCATGAAAGATACGTGATTAACACCATTAAGGAACAACTTCGAGAGGAAGAAGTCAAAGTACAAAATTATTTTTTCCCTGCGGCGTATTGGCGTAGTGACATTATCCCTTCTTTCATGTGACTTTTTACAGCTCTATAAAAATCTTTGCTCCTAACTGAGCTGAAATACATTTGTCTGGCTCTTATTTTCCAATGACATGTCAGAAGAACAGAAGGGCTTTGGATCCTCTAAATCCACAGCCCATCTTGGCATGTTTGACTTTTCTGTCTGAAGGCATTATAAGTAATACTATTAGTGCCTTTTCCGCAACAGCCAATAGGAAGCTTGTGAGATCGAATCTCCTCCTACTTGGAGCAATCACATTTCTCTCTGCCATTGGAGAAGGACTGCCAAACACATTCTATTGCAGTTGCAAGACTGTCCTGTATCATATTAATGAAGCAACCAAGGTCTTGATTGCATCCCAAGCCCCAGAACGCTGCTTTAGAAAAACTGGTCTCTGTCTTAATTTATTCGGAAGTGTTTGAAGCATATCAAATTGAGTATACACTTGTCTCTGAAGATATGCCTAACCAAAGATGCTTTGATTAGTGCTACTGAATTGTCTGTATGTATGTACTATAAATCAAAGTGGCAAGTTGGTTTGAAAATACTAATTTTAAAATGTATCCTTATGCAAGATATGGATGGAAATTTTAATGCTTTGCTTAATTGTATCTACACTTCATTGGTTACACAATTTGCATTTCAACCAAATGGGAAATTGAGATTTTTAATGTCCTCTCTTGCATATTAAAACTGTCTGCCAGCGCTGTTCTGCCTGGGGCCTGTCTCTTGAAACTTAGTATTACAGTTATTCTATGTGGAAAGTCTTCTGCATGTATTTGCTTAGCATGTGAACAAGACCCAGCCCTGTAGCTTATTTCCACGTATCCATGAGCTACTATCAAGTATATTGGTGGAAACTGATGTCAAGATGCTTCCTGTGCTGGCTGGAGATTCTGAAAGTCATATAGCCTGAAGGGCACCAACTTGAAAAATGCCAGACATGAGATAAACTATATGGTTGTAGGCACTGTAGTGTTTATGAAGTAGTTGACCATCGTCTCCTTGACAACTCTTGCTTTGAGGTCTTCTCACCACTCAACTTTGAGTTTTACCTCTCATTTTTGTCCCAAGTCCAAACTCAAAGCCTTAAAAAGGTTTTCTATACCAATGTGCAAAATATTTTTAATTTGAAACAAAATACATGGTGTCAGGCTCCAAACACTGCTGAACTGACCAAAAGAGCCCATTGTAGATGTAAAACAGCTTCTCTGTACTCAAAACAACTATTTGGAATTCAAAATGGGGCATTTCAGTTTTGAAATGGCACAAAATCAAAACACTTTGCACACTCCTATTCTGGTCTTTATGTTGCATAGGAAGTAGGTGGCTGTCCAATTTGAAATTTCGATCAGACAGTGACAGAAAACTGCAATTTGTTCCATTTTCTCAGGCAAACCATATACTCGGAGCAGGTCTTATAATCCTGTTGGAAATTTGGTCAATTACAGCAACAACTAGAGTGAGTGAGTGAGTGAATGCATACATTGTCTGCTGGGCTACACTGAATTTTGAATGTCAAAGTTAGGGAATTCCTCTTCCAGAAAAAAAAGCAAATTTTGTTTCTAGTCTTTTTACATATGCTTTCAGTTTTAAAGTTAAAATTAAATCAATAAAAATATTATCTAGTTTCCATGATATCCATTAACTGAGTACTCCAATCCACAGTATGCTAGAAACCCATTAGACAAGCAGTACGTGCTGATGCCTGAGTGCTTTAGCATAGCAGAAGTGTGTGCTAAAGATTTTTTTTCTTTGAACATTACATCAAAGAAATACCTAATTAGGATTACAGCATACATTTCCCAAATAGCTATTAGTGTTCAGTACCAGTCAGTTCCTCTTCCCAATTTCTAATATAAGAGCACAAAGAACGGCACTTACAGTGACCCCATCTCTTTCCCCATTTTTAGTTCATGCTGTGTGCCTTTGCCTGGCCCTGATTTTTTTCCAAAAAACAATTCCTATTTATGAGAAGGAGGTTCAAGTAGTCCTCATTTAGCAACTGCCTCATACAGTGACTGTTCAGTTATGACAGTGATGAAAAAGTAACATTGCAACTACTTCTTGCATTTACGACTTTTGTAGGTCTGTAAAGCAAAAGAAAGCTGAAGTACGATCATAAGCACAGCCGCGGTTTAACTTAATGACCGCTTTGTATGACAACCAAGTTGCCAGTCCCAACTGTGGTAGCTAAATGAAGACTACTTGTATAAAATTACCAAGAAACTTTAGTGGCTTTTTAATTTTGTACAATTATGTAATAAAAGTTACAACATGCAAAGAAAAAAAATAAAAAGAGGGCAAGTTAACAAAAATGCAAATACTAAAATACCAAAAGTAAACTGAAATACTTTTAAAAATTAGATTACTAAACTACTGGGTAATTGTTAAATATTATTTCATATGGCATATCAAAATTCTAATGTACTAAAACACTGGATTATTTAACTACCAAACAACCAATGCTAAAACACTATCCAATGTCAATGATTCATTATATTGCTTCATATATGTCAGCCCTTTGAGGTAGTCCAGAGGGGAAATCAAAACCATGAGTACGAACACTACCTTTATGGTAGGGTTACTGTAACAGAATCTTGCAAGTCTGACAGCACTGCCCCCCCCCCTTGCCTTTACTTTCCAGAGAAATAGGGAGGTTCCCTTCTGAGATGCTTTTGGCACCCCCATCCTTTCTGTGGGCTGAGACCTTCTCATCTGATTGTTGCCCTGGCTTTCTCCTGCTCCCTCCTGTCTCCCAAGGTTATTCTCACAGCCCATTACATCTATAAGGAATTGCCTGATATTTTATATAATTCAATAAAGGGTAGACCATTAACTTTTATCTTACCAAATTTTGTGTCCCTCAGACGAGCACCATATCTGACAAGCTTCCAAACACAATTTTGCTATTTGCCACAAAACTATGGGATCTTTATCTTCAAATACATAATTTACATAAAAATTCTTCAGAGCATATTTTGTATTATGAGGCTATTTTGTGTTGTGGGGCTATCTTGGAGCTGCAGATATCTCTGTAAAAGATGCACTACCAAAACTAGCTTGAGCCAAGGTTTCTAGCATACCTCCTTGTACAGGCAGGTATTCTAATCTCAAGAAAAGCTGAAAGAAAGATGTTAATTGCATTATTTTGGGAAAGTAAATTGTTTAAGGTACTGTGCTGCCTGGATGCTATGTAGCCCAATCTCAGCTTCTGCATTTGCAGAAGTGGTACACTGGTCCTTTGCACATTTCTAAGTGTCTGCTTTTACACATATCTGATCTTGCCCAGTCATAGCTGTTCTCACCAGTATCTGGGGAGAAAACCTGTTCAACAGCATTTTCAGTTCTATTTTTGATTTTCCATGAAGCTTGGAAAAAATCCACTAGTGTTACAGAGGGTAGGTCTTGTGATTAGTTCAGTTTTAATCAAACGTTAAATATCTTCATCCAGTCCCTAGATTCAGCCTTGAGTACGGCCATCTTTTAAGTTGAGTACTGTGTTTGGAACACAACATGCCATTTCAGTTTTAACTTTTATTCCACTGAATGAAATAATTGAAATGAAATGCAAGAGTACTGGCAATCTCTGGGCTAAAATAAGAGTTAAGGCAATAGAACATTTTCATTTAGACAATGCCTATATCTGACACATGTGCACAATGCTTCTGGGTATAACTTTACTTTGATTAGAAAGCATAGGAATATTTGTTCATCAAGAAGAAAATATTTATTTACTCCTAAACTTTCCAGACTAACAGACCTGCATCCTGTACAAGTAATAAGAAATTAAGGGAGATTGTTCTTAGATTCTTATCCTATCTTTTTTCATATATAACTCAAGGCAGCGAACATACCTGATCCTCCTGCCTCCTATGTTTCCCATAACAACAACCCTGTGAAGTGGGTTGGGCTGAAAGAGAATGACCTGCCCAAAGTCATCCAACCTGCTTTAATGCCTAAGGGAGGCCTAGAACTCACCATCTCCTGGTTTCTAGGCCAGCACTTTAACCACTGCACCAAATTGGCTCTCAGTTACGGATTATGACTATTATAATTATTATATGGATGAAGGTATGGTTGTAGTGAAAATAATTTGCCCCAATTATTATTTTATAAATAAGACCTATTCAGTATTCCACTTGTATCATACAAAAGCAGACACATTTGCATATGACCAATACTCAAGAACTATCGTTGGTATTGTTAAAACCAGCAGTACAAAGCAATTTGGATAATCCAGATTTTAAACAATGCATGAAATACATTCAATCACGTAGGACAGAAATAAAAGTGAAAAACAGACTGCATTATAGTTATTGTGGATTTTACATTTGTGTTACAAGACATTATAAAAGACCTGACTCCTTACTGCGTTTTTTTGGTAAAAATAGTTCACCGTATATCATGAGAACATGTATGCGTTTGTGCTCAAACAACACATCCCAAACCACTGCTTAACTATAGTCCCTAAACCTTGATCGCCTTGAGTGTAATTACCACAGTCAACAGCGGAGCTTCCAAGCCACTCTCTTGCAACCCTTCTCCCGTCCTTTTAACAGCTTTCTTTCAAACGGGAAATGATGCTTTACTTGATTAACTCCTGCGTTTTAAGCCGCCAAGGACCCAGAAAAGCTTATCAGATAAAATGGAGGAGACCAAGGAAAGATTGCCGGGGGCGGGGGGAGAAAATAACCCTGATTTATAACATCCTGCTTCTCAAACGCAGGTAAGGACGAGGAACGCTCATCGGCTTTTCTCTCCCGCCCTTCTTCTCTTCGGAATTATCGGTTCCGGCGTCCTCACGCGAAGGCTACCGCTTCGGCCACCGCCCACTCGTCCTGCTACCCGAAGTAGCCGGGACCGGCTGCCGAGCCGGAAAAACCAAAGGCCACACGAATCGCCCGCGCCCACTGCAGAGGGCAGGCTTAGCGCCGCGCCCGCGCTCTTCGGAAGGGGCTCGAGAGGCGGGGGAGGAGTTCTGCGATGACGTAGGCGCTGCTTCGCCCCGCCCGCCTAGCCTCCCGCCGACGCCAGCTGCAAAGAGCCCCGCAGCCGCCTGTTACAGCCTCGCGCGGCGCAAGTCCGGAGAGCGTGCGCCAGTCCCCTGATTTTTCTTCCAGGCTACGGAAACGGCCTCAAGCACCGCAGCCGCGCCCCCTTCTTCCTCCGCAACCGCGAGAGAGCTATGTCAGTTTCCCCCGTGAAGAAGCAGAAGATGGAGTCGGCGCTGGAGCAGCTCAAGCAACACACCACCGTGGTGGCCGATACGGGAGATTTCCATGGTGAGGAGTCGTTCCGGCGACCCCCTTTTTACTCCTTCCGCACATGGTCCGGAAGCGATCGGTGGAGCGGGGCGCCCCTTTGGCCTCTGGGGCTCCCCACCGGGTCCGCTCCAGCTGGATTTAACGCTCTTGCCCGCAGTTGGTTTCTTCCGGGTGCGGCGGAGCTTCCTTCTTCCGATCCCCGTCTCTCCGCGGGAAAGGAAAGCTAGTTGGAGGGAGCAGATGAGGAAGTCGTGTGTTTCGTAGCCCGGTGCAATGCTGATTTTCCGCACAGTCCTCACCGTGCCTGCGATGCGCGCCCTCAGATAAGCAGGCCTAATAAGTCTGCCCGCTCAATAGAAGCAGTACCTTTATAAGCTCTCTGCAGTGTTGTGGAATGTTCATAAACTTTTTCTAGTTGGCCATTGGATTCTGATTTTTTTTTCCTTGGGCAACTTGGGGGTACTCTTGACTTTTTAATGAGGCAAGCTTGAAAAGTCAGACGTGGTTAATGCTTGAATGGGAGACCACCAGCAAATCCCATAGCTGTAGATTAAGCTAGGATGTTGGAAAAAAATCTCAGAAGGAATTGGCGTTCCACTTCTGTATTGTTTTTAAGAAAAGAACATGGATCTTGTTTTGCTATCTAGCCTCAGTGTCTACTGAGTGGGGAAATACAATACTGTGCATGTCAGGTCTTCATGCTATTGCTGTACCTTGTTGCCATTATCCCCAATTTGGGTCTAGGGATTAAGGAAGCTAGACCAACTCACTTTAAACACAAGGCTTTTAAAAAGTTTATGTATTACTTACCTGTAGCATTTTTAACATGGTGTTCAGTATTCCTTTCTGCAGCCTCACTGGGAACAGGCCTTAAAAACGTCCCACCTCTTCCATTGTTAAGTGACACAAGCCACTTAGAAAATGTTATTTATGCAAAAGCATGACAGAAGTAACTCACAGCATGGACAACTAATAATAATTTATCAAATGTATATGCCGCCCGACTCCCAGCAACTCTGAGCAATTGACAATTGTTAAAACATTGTATAGTTTTTAATATTTTGGATAATATTTTTAACTCACAGTTTAGACAGAACTAATCAGTTAGTTTGCATACTTTATGCAAGTAATTGATATATATGTTTTTCTGAAGCATGTCTATTGATCTTTCCAAATCCTAGCTTAATTCTTGGTGGACTTAATGGGCTGGTCTGTTAAGAGAGAAACATAATATCTGGAAAAATGCTTTTCTATTGAAAATCTGCTTTTAAAGTAAACTAATCTGTATACAAAGTTCTATGTGTTCTACCACTAGGCTATATAATTGCAGAAAATAGTGTTGCTTGCAAAATCCAATATTTCTTGATCTGTTGTTTAGATTTTCAATGTACAGCATACATGGATTATAAGCATTTCTCAAAAGCTGCTCAGAAAATGTAACCTAACATGAAATATTAACTATTTTGTAAATAGTCTTGTGAAAGACATTTCTCCTTCCTGTTGCTTAACAGGTGATTGCATCTTGCTGATTGGCTATGAGTTAGCAGATTTTGACAAGAAAAAGTCCTCTTTAATCTGAGAATAAACCTTTCAGAGCAGGAAATTAACCTGCTGTATGTGATAGTGTTAAATATTTAATGTAAAAATACTTAGTAAATTTTCTATGGAAATATTGCACAATATCTTTAAGAATATCACATGGCTATATTGCAAAAGCTGTAGTGCCACTTATATAACTTTGCAGAGGAATTTGGTATGTCCTCCTTAAGTAGCTGGAGATGATTACAGTACCAGCATATGTATGTTCAAAAACACCTGAAGGGAGTTTCACCATGAAAAGCACAATTTTCTAGTCTGCATATGTAGCCTTTTAGAATTTAAAAAAAGTTTAAATGTATGCTGAGCATTGTAATAAGTACTTATACATGCCAGTTCAATTATAGTTGCTTCTATATTACAATGAACATGCATTATCCTACACAGATAGGAATTCTACTTCTGATGGATCTCCCTGCAAATTATTTGAGGCACCATTTGAATATGGGCAAGGCAATAACCATTAATATATATCAGAACCTAAATATTTTCTTCCTCCTCTTCTAAAAGTTGCTTTTTGAAGTGGATGTGGGATAACTATGAAATGCACACCCCACTCAGGATCTTGATGTGGCAAGAACTGCAGCTTTTGATTGTTTAATAGGGCTGCACAGTGCTTTCTATTCAAAGCAAAAAGACGCACTGGAGTGTGCAAGATGCACATGTAGCATTTGTCCACAACTTATTAAATACATCTGTTTGTGATGAGGGATTGCTTGTCTGTTTTTTATATATATAAAGTTTATTAAAAGTTTTAAAGAGAACATAAAAACTAATACAGAACTAAAGAAAACAAAGAAAAAGAGAAAAGTGCAGAAAGAAAAGATAAAAAGAAATAGAAAAAAGGAACTTCCAATTTCCTTTGCAGCAAATAGAATTACAAAATTATCTCTTACGCTATGATTACAAAAAAAGCTAACTTTTTTCTATTATCCAATTTTTTCCCCCAATTATCAAAGCCACAAATCATAAGTGCATTTTTTTCTGTTTCATGCAAAAAGTCTATAAGGAGTTTCCAGTCAGCCATAAATGTACATTTTTTCCCTCTAATCAAAGAGGTCAATTTTGCCACCTCTGCAAGTTCCATCATCTTCACCAACCATTCTTCTACTGCTTATCTCCAATCATTTCTGCCCGCCCATCATGTTCCAGCAGAGTGGGTATGCTCCAGGTCCCCTCCATTAAACACTGCCAACTTGTGGGACTTAGGAAGCGTGCCTCCCCTTTTGCAGCTCCCATCCTCTGGAACAGCATCCCCCCAGGGATAAGGATGGTGCCCTCTCTCTCTCCTAGGGTTCCGGAAAGCCTTGAAAACGTAGCTGTGGTCCCAGGCCGGGGCCCGATGTTTAATATTTGTCTAGGGCCCCTGTTTTGTTGATTTTGTTGTTTATTGGATCATTTTAGTCTGGGCTGTCGCTCTGATTTTATGTTTTTAGCTGTTTTTATGTTTTTCTAGTTTTGTATACTGCCCAGAGTTCACTGGAGTTGGGTGGCCAATAAATTTAAATAAACAAACAGCCATGCAATATCAGGAAAGGACTTAACTGTTTTAATTACAGAAAGCAATAATTCAGTTACACAAGGTTAAAAGAAAATAATGGTGGGTCCCCTTTGTTCTGTGGTACATTTATATCATACGCTTTTGATAGCGCTTGGGAGCTGAGACTAGATTCAGAACACTTGAAACTTGGGCCTATTTAACGTATTGAAGACTCTTGTTCATTCTACAGCTAATTTTCTGTATGTGTGAGGGGGTTCAATGTAAAGGAAATTGAATAAATACAGGTAGTCCTCTATTAATAACTACTAGTTCAGCGACTGTTCGAAGTTATGATGGTACAGAACAAGTGATACTTACGACTGGTCCTCGAAGTTCTAGTCATCCCAGTATTCCTGTGGTCACGTGATCGTGATCTGGGCACTTGGCAACTGACTCGCACTTACGACAGTTGCAGCATCCTATGGTCACGTGATCTCCATTTGCGGTCTTCCCTGCCAGATTCCCACAAGCAAAGTTGATAGGGAAGCTGACAGGGAAGGGCACAAGTTGCTTGGGTAAGTCTCCGGCACCTGGCAGCAGCCACCCCAAGCCTCACTGCACTCACATCGCACTGCATCAGCTGCTCACACACCCTTGCGCGCTGTCCCCCACCCAGCAGCAGCCACTTACCTGCCTGCCAGCCTGTTTGCAAGCTGCCTAGGAGTTGCAACTTCCTGCCAGCTTCCCCACTGACTTTGCTTGTGGGAAGCCAGCAGGAATTTGCAAGGAGGTCCTTGCATAACAACAGCAACAGGAATTGCTGGGATTGCTGTCATTAAGTGATGTGGTCACATGATGTTGCACTTTACGACCGCATTGCTTAGCAGCGGAAATTCCGGTCCCAATTACTGTTGTTAACCAAGGATATTGAAGTGTTGAAAGGGGATAGAGTAAATAGTACTTCCTAATTCTACATAAATAAGTTCACAAACACTGAGCAGTTTGCATAACTGGATTTCATTTTTGATCTTAATTAAATTCTATTCCAAGTATCTTGCTATCCAGAAGTTTGAGACAAAGGTCGTGTTGCTTTTTATGCTCTGAAAAATGCTGGTTACTGACAAAAATTGCGCTAAAAGTAAAAAAATGATTAGAAACCAATGTTAATTTGGTATATCAAAATTATGGTGATTGGCTGTTTATATCTGAACAATTGAAACTTGTTATTGAATTTGTAGCAACTGAACATTTGGATAGACTTAATGGAACACTGGTTCTCAGGATACTCTGGTGATGTTAACAAAAGCAGAATCTAAGTTATTCATTGTAAAGCCTGGGTTTTATGGATTTTTTCCAAAATAAAACTATATAATGGAAAAGGGTGTGGAACTCCAAATCTGTATAATTACATGCTTGATAGACTGTAGGGAGCTCACATTAATTTGTATACATTGTCAAATGGTCAAGCTGAATTATATCTATTGGTATTGACCAAGGTTTTCTATAGCGAAAAGTACTGAAAGAGCTAATTTACTCATGTGCTCAATTATATATGACATCATTTTTTTCTAGCTCAGATTTTGTCTCGACTGAAGAATGAACAGTCTTCAGTGTATGCTTCTATATTGGTTCTGGGTGGACTGCTCCTAATACAACCTATCAAACAACCTTGCAAAATCCCAAAGTGATAATATAGATGTCATTTTTTTAAAATGTTCCCTCATGTAAAAAGAAACAAGTTAGGGAAAGAATGCAGAGCGAGGCCTTTAGAATTCTTTCCATTCCCTTAAAAATAGCTTTGCTCTAGGCCAGGTTTCCTCAACCTTAACAACTTTAAGATGGGTGGACTTCAACTCCCAGAAATTCCCCGCCCCCCCCCACCGGGGGGGGAGTTCGGGGGGTGAGGTGGACCCCCCCTAGAAGTGGTTTTGTGGAGGGAACAAAGGGTC